CTCTGTCCTCTCTCCAGGCCACCCACCCGCCATCTTGCACATACCTGTGGTTTCCTGTTCCCTGCTCTTCTCTTCTCCTCCCGCCTCTTTCTTTACCTCCAGTCTCCCCTCACACATACAGTATAAGCACACACCCTTCTCTGTCTAACTGGTAACGTCAGACTTTTTGTCTTTCCCTCTTCTACTTCTTCTACTTCTGCATGCTGGTGTATCAGGTAAATAATGCCCCAACCACAAATATTTCTTTGAACTCCTTTTAAGGGGGAGAGCTGGAAGAAACGGGGAGATGGATAAAGCAGATGAGGAGAGGTTGATTCACACAGCTGGCTCCCAGCTGTAGACCAAGGCAACGCACAGAAATGCTCCATCTGCCCAACCCCCATTAAAAAAAACCTAACAGTCTTGTCATAGTAAATCCAGCCAAGCGCTCCTCTTCACCTTCACCAGCACTCTGAACATCACCCAGCTGCTTGTTGACCTCTTCCCTGTCATTGTCATTTTCTCTCCTAGCTTTTGTCCGCTCTCCTCATTCACTGTCACTATCAGTAAAAATACAAAGGTCTTGAACTGTAAATTTTGTCCAGTCAATCATCTCCTCAACACAAGCAAAGGAAAAGTGCTGATACTCAGTGGAGCTGGATACTTAATACTGAAACAAGGACTCACACCAGGCAACAAAACCAGCTAATAATCTGTTTGGTTTATAGAAAAGCCACAAAATTATAAGAAAAAAAGCAGAATAACCCTAACAGTCTTGGGTGGGCAAGTGATATTTATAGCCAGTGTGATGCTACTTATATTCTTTAGTTGTATAACACAGCTGGAAGTGAGTGAGAAGGTGGAAAACTCGTGAGGAAAAAGAAGCAAAGGGACTTCAGGGGATGTATGTGTGGGGGCGGATACCCAGTGCATGTGGTGTGTATGTGTGTGTGTGTGTGTTGGATACCCAGTGCATGTGGTGTGTGTGCGTGTGTGTGTGGCTCAGAGCAAGACAGACAAAGAACAGCAGAAAGAGAGACATAGGAGTACACCACATGAGCATGCCTCTGTGTCTTTATGTGTGTGTACTTGTATTCAGTGTGTGAGAGAAACAAACGACGACAGCAACAGAGGAAGTCTGCAAGGCCACCAGATGAACACGGAGGAAACAACAAGAAACAGAACACAGACAGCACAGCCGTAAAACTGAACTAATGGAATTATTAAAATGAAAACCATTAGGAATTTATTGACCACTAACTTTGTCGTTACTGGGCTTTTGTTTCAGGGTGTGAAAGGTCTTTGCTGTGCAGTTGATCACAGAGGGCAACGACAGGGATGGAGACAAGAGAAGGTTTTAATTCGTAAGGTAGGCTCAACTTCAGAAAGGCAGATACATAAAATGACTTATAGATAAACCTATGGTCATGTAGAGAGATTAGACATGATTGTTTCGTACCGGGCTCAAGCACAATTACTCCCCCCTAGCACTTACATACAGTATGTACACAGTCTGATACAGTAGGCAGCAGTATGTATGTAGTCGGTTTGCAATTTGCCAAGAAGAAGAAAAAAAAAGCAACCACTCACGTCATCAGCCGAGCAACATTTGTTTCTGTTCCACGTACATGTAAATACTGATGAATACTTCCATAAATCTCAGAGGAAACAGGACAAATCTGACCAAATAAACAGGGCAAAGAATCTGACCAAACATCCAATGAAAACTTTTGTTTTTGATACTAATACTACTGGCACATTTCTGTTAGTGCTTGAGGGGTCAGTAACCAGCTCATCTTACACCTGAGATATTGTCTTTTTAAGTCCATACATTCTTCTACCTTGACTGTGTCATAACTTGGTGACTACATTACCCACAAGGCACCTCAAACACTCACTTTAGTCAGCAAATCAAGTGAATTTGTTATGCTAGTAGTGGCTAAGTAGCCTGGAACAGTTACCCTCAAGCAGAATGAGGAGCAAGCAGAGCTCGATAAACTCACGTCGCTCTAACTCCACACCCCCAGAAATACTCATCAAAACCTGTAAACAAGCTTTGATGAGTAAAATCTATGGAGTTCTCTATAACATGAGCACTGTCGTTCTGTCAAGGTCCTTCACTCAAGATTATGGCAAACGAAACAAGAAAACCTCTGAAAATTATAAGACTTAAACAATGTTACTCTCTCACCCTCTCTGTTTCTCTCCTCGGATGGTAAACTGTACTTAAATTTGTCCCAGCGGCTGAACACACACGTGTAGACTTGTTTTCATCAGTTCACAGTTGTGTGGCTAGACGTGCACACCTGTGTGTGTGTGTGTGTGTGCACCCTTGATAAGGGCCATTGTATTATATGGTGTTATATCATCACTTTCATGCTTGTGCTTTCACTGAAACTGCCTCCTCTCCCGCGTACACCTTCATTTTTCCAGTATCTGCTCCCATTTTCTCCTCCTCTCACTCTCTTTACCCTCCTGCACAGTCACAGAAAACCTATTTTCTTTACAGTTTTACAGTTGCCTGTTCATTCTGATGCCTTATGTCTTATCCATGTTTAGAAAAAGAATTTATAAAAAGATTAATATGCAAAACATATCCTCAATAGAGAATGTGCTCACTCCATAACTCATGTTCCTTGTGAGCCTGTGGAAACTCCAGTAAATTATAAATCACGTAAATTACAAACAATGCAAAACAGTAGGGTTGAAAACAATGCTCTCTTTTTTCATTATGTTTTCCATTTACATAAACACACCTCATCAATTTACACAGTGAACAAATTATTGAGCACCTATTTGGATCATAAACACTCTGACATACAGTAAAAAGTGCACGTCTCCTGTGTGGTCCTCCGAGCTGCTGACTTCATTAGTAATATATCACAGGCGTTTAGTTTAATACCCAGATGCTGGTACAGTAAGGGAAAGGCATGTGGGCCTGCGCTGGCTTTTAATTGGATGGGATCCCTGAGCTGATGTTTGGGGCTTAGCATGTGACTCAGACACACACACACACACACACACACTTTCCCTGAACGAATGAAAAGGCTTGGCCAGTTTCTGACAGGGCAGCAGTCTCTTATGCTTTTAGGAAGAGCCAAGTCATGGCTGTCCAGAGGAGTCTGCAAACTAAACAACCACAGACAATACACACCCATGTGCATACATAAAGACATAGCCATGCACATACACACGGAAATACATCTTTGAGCTCCCGGGACAGACTGACGCCATGTTACGTATCCGCTGAGCAGATTATTACAACATGAAATAAAAATATGCATGTTAGAGAAAGAAAAAAACAGAGAAAGGGAAAGGAAAGTGCATGGAGATGAGAGCTGAGGAACAAAATGATTGGACTGTGTGTGTGTGTGTGTGTGTGTGTGTGTGAGAGAGAGAGAGAGTTCCCACCAGGGCTGTAATTAAGAGGCATTAAAATAACTAATAGGCAACAAATCAGGCAATCAGCTAGCTGTGAATTAGAGGGCTGAGAATCTTAAAACACACACATTTGTATCTTTGTGAGGACACTCATTAACATAATGCGTGACATTACCTTACCATAGCCTTCACATCTAAATGCCTAACCACAACCCTTACCCTAATTCTAATTTAGGGTGTTTTCACATTAGGCATGGTCATTTTGTACCATGCCTGAGCACAATTATTTCCCCCTCCCCTCTCTGCTGCAGGTCTGCTTTCACATTTGTAACGTTTTTCCGTGGCTTTCCTTGTTAAATGTATTCAAGTCTTCCACCGCTTGCTTTGTGCACTGTTAGACATTAAAAAACACAATCAATGGAAAACATAATCTGTCTGTGAAAATGGGCTGAATTGTGGACCTGGTGACAAGCAACTGTTGTCAGTATTTGCTTTTGTTTGTTCAAATCTGTGTCTGTGGCATCAGTATTTATGATAAACTGAAGGGAACAATTGTTTACATGCATTACCATAAGTAAATGTTACAATCTAAGCTACTTAGTCATTCTATCATTAAAACAGGATTCGGAGCTAGGTTTTGATTGGCTAGGTCCGATCACCGACTCCAGCTTCCTACTAGACACATGCTATTCACATCATACATGTTTGATCCAAAGTAGCGTGCTGTTATCAGAGCAAAGATGCCAGTGCTGAACTGTTACAAATATCATTGTTTATTATTGAATAATATCCCTCAGAGTGTGAATGGTCAATTTAAGCTGCATAAGAACAAGCACCAAATTCATAAGTGTTTTCAGTAGATGCCTCAGTGTGATGTATATTCAGAATACACGTGAATGTATGTAAATGAGTATTAGCCAATATATGAATCCAGTGATGCTACGCCCATGATTTTTCAGTTATTCATTCACACGTGCTAGTTTGCAGTATATGCAAAGTTACCAAAAAACAATGTGCATGCCATGAGCGCACAGATGATGTGATACCCATTCTTGCTGAGTGCAGAGGTGTGTCAACAGCTAGGGGCAGTAATGTGTTTTAAAAAGTAGAAATACAACAGCACAAGAGAAGAAGAATCCTAAACCAAAGTAAACAAGGAGGTTTCAAAGCATTAGACATACTCTGCAAACCTTGACTGATATTCATTCTGTGTGTTTTTCCAGGATTTAATGATATGCTAAATCTGTTCTTTGAGGATGTAAATAAAACTGTGAAAACTCCACAGGGTACATTTAACATACAGTATGTGAGAGGTAAAAATGAGCATACAGTTACTGTACTGTATCTTCTAGAACAAAAGTAAATCCTACATTAAATTTCAAATGATTCAGCATGTTTACTGCCAGGGAACATCATAAGGAATAAGTGGCATTGCCAAAGGTGCAACGGATAGAAGCAAAGGTGCCCACTCAAACCATTTACACATAAAGCAGATTCATTTAAGAATCTTAATAGAGACCACACGGACTATAAAAAATGCATCAAACAATGAGAGAAACAGTAACACAGACCTCAGCCTGGGATGTTGGTAGGTAATTTCCACCATTTCCTAAATACATCTTGTTGTTTCTTTTACTTACATGCTGAGTGCGCGATCCGTGGTTGTTTTATTAAGTTGTGTTGTGTCTGGTTCTTGGCAGTAGCACAGGGTGCAGAACTGGCACTTTTCCTGAAAGGTTCCAAAGAAATAATTTTGGTGACACAATTACAAACTGGACAAGATGATAAACAAGCCAAACTACTAAATCCTCACCTTGTCCTTTAAATTCCTTGACACACTACAATTATCATAATCTATACTAATCTGTTTTTGTATTGAAATATATTAATTTCATTCTTTGCAGAACAGTGGATAAACAAGCAAACTACTGACCCTTTTTACTAAACCAGTTTCCAAGAGTCCTTCTCCACTCACAATCAGTGTTAACGGCCTCCATTTACATTTGGCGGCCAGATAAAGATGGTTTGTCGTCCGTCAAATGCTGCAGTTTTCATCACGGAATACATGTATCGCGGTCACAGAAGCTTTCTGCTATTTTTGCAAGTAAACACTGATCCTATCTCATGCATGAGGAAGGGGCTCTCTTTCACTGTGTCGCAAGCCCTAAATTCCATTCTGTATCTCCATGCAGTGCTCAGTGATGCGCAGGGAGCACGTGCACGCACACACATAAACGATCGCTCTCTCTGATGCACTGACTTGAGTGTATAGAGGCCTATTGTACACAGTGCACCATTATTTACACATAAACCGTCATCTATACACTGGCAAGAGATTGAGCTGTACGCACACACAGGCACAGATATACACACATGGGTACAAACAAAAATGGACACAGGGGCTTGAAAGGATGGATGATGGTCCTGATGACACAGAGACCACCACAATAAGAAGGGCGCAGTTTACGTCAGCAGCTATTGAAGGGCTCTCTAAAGACCATAAACCCTGAGCACACACACAACAATCTTTCTGCAAGCTTACCCAGAGCATCATCACTTGTTTTGGATAGGATGATGTGCCCTACTACATAAAAAAACTACATTTTCACAAATTCTACAAAGGACTAGATAAACTTGGAACATTTAAAATCATTAATGCATCTTTTTTTTTTTTTTTTAAAGCAAATCAATATAACCTGTGCTGAACAGCAGCCACAGTTATTGGTCAGCTCTGCAGAGATGAGGAAGGAGCTAAGGAGCTGAGTTCAACACTTTGAATTTCTTCCAGGACAAAGTGTATTAAAATGTGCCCTGTGAGCCCCTTCTATGGTGGCAGGATTTTTAATTCACAATAAATACCCTTCATTTCCTAAGAGGTTGTAGAAATTACTTAGTTCAAACATGTCCATAAGCCAAGAAATGCAATGTCTCAAACATAACCCAACCTTTAATACTACAGAGTGCCTGAAATGGATGCCTTGCATCAGTTGAAGTAAGTGCTCAAGGTAACTAAACCCAAATTGAACTGAAATAGTGTTATAATGTCAACGCACAATATTTTATACCCTCATATGACCAACTGTTCAACCATCATGAGTTGTCCAGTGACATGCAAGCTTGCAGTGGCAAGTTTTCCTCATGTCCATAAGCCAAGAAATGCAATGTCTTTTTCCTGATACTACACTGCTCCGGAGTAAATACGCAAAAAGTTGTTTTGAAGACATGTTAATATGCACACAACCACCCTGCCTAAGGCCCTAAGCATCCATAATAATCTAAGATACAGTACAATAAATCATTGGTGCCAGCCTGCCCTCCACGGAGGACCTGTACACCTCACGGGTCAAAAGGACGGCAGAGAAGGTTTCTGCAGACCCCTCACACCCTGGACACTAACTCTTTGAGCTCCTCCCCTCTGGACGGCGCTACAGGTCACTGTACGCCAAAACAACTAGATCATGGTGTGTGAAGTGTGGCTATTTCCACACTATGAAAAGCAAAAAAGGGAGGAAAGAAATGTTTTTTTAACAATAACAATGATAACAGTACTACTAATAAAATCAGCTTGTTACATTTTTAGAGGTTGGTAGGAATGTGTGTGGCCTCAGCCCCAGGTGCTTGGTTCAAGTTGAAATGTGTTAGAAATGGGTTTCATGTGTCATAAAAAGCAGATAAACTATTCTTGTGAGTGGATGCCATTTTCTCTAGGGTGATGTATTCTGTCAGAAGGTTGGTCCAGTGGTTTATGTCTAGAGATTTTTTGGATTTCCAGTTTTGAAAGATTGTTTTCTTGGCAATAGCTAGAGAAATGAGGAGTGGGTTTTTGTGTTTAATTGGTAGGTGGTCGACTTCTGTGATATTACCGAGCAAGTAAAGTAATGGAGAAGGAGGGATTCTACAGCACCAGGCTTGTATATATTCTGTGTTTATTCTGTTTTTATTGTTGTGCACATCGGGGGCCATTGGGTTGGAGTCCAATTCCTTATATTTTGATAATACTTCGCAATAAAGTTTATGCTTATGCTTAAAAAAAACTCACTACATAGATTCAATAAAAACTGAGTGGTTGAACTTGATGGAGGGGACATTAAAGCTAAATGGAGGCTACATTTTTATCACTATTTCCTGTTGAGAGAAAGAAAGGTAGAGGGATTCACTTGAGACAGATCTGGCAGCAGAAATGCTGCTGTGCAGCGGGTGAGTCAAAGTCTGTGTGTGGTACTCAGGCTCCCCTTTCTCTTTTTTACAAAAGGGGAATGGAGGGAATCAGAGAGGATGAAAACAGAGAGAAAGACAGCTACAGAGAGGTAGAGAAACAAAGTGACAAAGAGAAACAAGGCAAGAAAAAGAAAGTTGATGGAACAGAAAACAGAGGGAGAAAGCGAGCGAGCAGTGTTGAGCGGCGCTCTGCTTGAACCGGCCTTTTGACTGACAGGGGAAGGACTGCAGACCTATTGTGGAACTCCCATTACTCAAGGTGCATCACCAGCCGAAACTCTTGTATCTCTAAAACGTTTCAGTAAATGTATTAATGGTAATACGCTTGACAGGTAACAGAAAACCAGCAGTGACTACAGGAAGTTACTGGTCCCAGCCAAGAAACAGTCCATCCCCCTGTAAAGGTGCATTTTTTCCTGTACTGGTGAAGCAAACATAATTCAACACACTGATTAGTAATCAACCACTAAAAAGACATAATTACTCTGTGACAGTGACATTTATACACAGTGCTGATTATTGTAACTGCAGTGTCAGGATTTGATTGCAGTTGTCATAGTAAAACACAAATCTGATATACTGTAAAAATGCCTCCAGTAACAGTTCACAGTAACTAGTGCTGGGTGCAGTCATTTTCTACATGAGCTTTAGATAGAACCGCTGAATTTGTTAACATTAATAGTCTGTAAAGGGTTTATCATATCACTCCAAGCTAACTAGAATAAAAAAGATCCCACCTGTGCAACGAGTAAAAAAACCAAACAAACATACTCTCTCCTCTTGGGTCACCAGACGTATCTTATTCATTATAAGCTATAAAGCCTGACAAAAAGAAGGCTTCTAGCCCTTCATCTGCCTCTTCACTCCCTCTCTGTCTCCAGCTCTTCATGAAGAACAGAGAGGGGAATCATTCAGTGTCTGAAAAGGTTAAAGTCTAGCTGAGGGCTGGCGTTTCTGCGTCTGCCAGGGGCACCTGAAGAGGGGCAAACATTTACCGGCAAAGAAAAGAGGGGGAGAAAAAAAATCAACAGCCTGCCCGAGAGCTGCAGGGTCCACAGTGAGTAGTGGTGTAGGGCCCTTGGAAAGTTTGTCTTGTAATTGAGTCAATTGTTGACCCCCTGTTCAGCCTGCCTCGGCAAATCTTTGGAGGAAAAGCCTGCCGAATAATTAATGTTCTCTCTCTCTCTCTCTCTCTTGCTCTTCATCTATCCATCTCCTACTCCTCTTCACTTCACCCCCTCTCCTTCCCTTGTTTTCCACTGTCTCAGTGGATAATTGTGCTGTGAGTCAAAGGCAGTAATTTAGGGAGGGGCTATGTTCATGGATCTGCTGAGGCTTACAATCTTCTTTTCACCCCAAATCTTTCTTAGCCCCCACCCCCCCAACACTCACCCCTGCTTCTCGCCTGCATTCTCCCCCTTTTTTATTCCTGCTTTTGTTTGCACCGTGGGATGAATTTTAAGCACTCTACTCTCCACCTCAAATCTCTTTCCCCAGTCTGGCCATTCGTTCCCTGTTCCCAACTTATGTCCAGCACTGTGGCACCGTCTCTCCTTCCCACTCGTCCACTATCAGCCCCTCAAAGGATCTGAGAAAGTATGAACACAGATACAGCCCTTTGATCAGACAAATGTCTTTAACAGGTAGACAGACAAGAAATGGGAGCGAGAAGGAGAGAAAGAATGACATAAGAGGGAGTTCAAGGAGGAGGGTAGGAAAGAGACAGGATAGCGAGAGGAGGGTCACGTTCTGTTTGTGAAGAGGGATCATTTTTAAATGCCTTCTTCATTCAGGAACACTTTGTTTGCACAAGAGCTCTACTGTTGCGCTCCTATTGTTGTTGCTTATCCCAAGTGCACACCAGGGACTCTGTTGTTATTCAGTTTTCACACATTTATTAGCAGGTGCTCTTTACAAGAATTGTTTCAAATGTAATATTCACTAAAATAAGTTAGTACAAGAAACTACAAAAAGTGCAAAAAGTTAAAGGCCACCACAGCCAACACACGTAGGCTTCCTGACATGCCAAACAGTGACACTTGTTTTTTTTTTACAAGGTCCCACAGTCCTTCCTCATTTCCTCTCCTCAAGCCAAAGGCTGGCTGCCTGTTGTGCTCTTACTGGCCTGTACCAGCTGAAGACATTTACAAGGGACATGGGAGGATCAGACAAGCCCTTGGATTTATGGTGACCTCCTGACCCTTGTGGTATGATTACACTGATAGTATGTTTGCAGTACTGTAAGGTAATTTACAATTTTGAGGTATTTATTTCCATTTTATGCTTCTTTACACTTATGTAGTTTCAAAGATGTCACATACAAAACATGGAGCTTTATTTACTTTGTAAGGTACAATAATATGAAAACGTGCATGACACTTGTTTTAAATATATTTGAATGTTTTAAGTGAGTTTTTATTTATTGTTTAATTTGCAATATTGTGATTTAGGTTTGAAGTTTTATTATTTGACTTGAACACACAGCTGTTCTTACCATGCCAGGTTTGAAAG